TTTTTACTCGAGCGTTCGTAAAAGAAGAAACGGATCGATGATTGATTAAAGAGAGATTTCGAAGTAAGATAGAAAATGGTGGAGAATAAAGTAGAAATTTTTGAATTTTTTGACGATGATCCATACAAGTTGAGTAAAATGATGGGTTACTTAGATTAGGGAACGATGTATCTTCTCTGTTTCACGTTCGATCAAGAGATACACGAGTGCAATTAAGGAAGAATAGAGATAGTTTGCTTCGTTTGCTTTTTAGGGATAGAGATATAATCCCTGATACGGTTTTACATAATTCAAACTGTTATTCTACAAAATTACTTACTTGCTTACTTACTTTAATCCAAAGTAAAGAGGACAAATTCGCAAAAAAAGAGATTATTCGATTGTTCCAAAAAAAAAAAGAAAGCAAAAATTTCGCAGTTGGTAATAGAAAAGACCGCAGACTTTCCCTATCCGCGGCCATAAATCAAGAACACGAACGATAACGATCCATTCCGGTTCCCGCGGTTGACAGTTGCATCAATCTTCTCTCGTGCGCGCACCGGTGGCAGTGACTGCTGTTCGACCGACCCGTTTACAGAACCGGCCAGGATCGATCCGTACCATTTTCCTTTCTTTCCCCCCCCATCGATTAACCCAAGAATACTCTCCAAGATCTATCTCGTATATCGCTCTACGTCGATCGATCTTCCTCGTTTATCATCTTACGAACGTAACGAACCTGCCAATTCGTCCAAGAATCATCCTCGAGACCGGCAGATTCAAACAGCCTCGAATATATCTGCGCAGGCTGACCGGACCACTCGAAGGAGAGGAGGGTCCCCAGAACCGGTCTCCCCCAACATAGCCGCGAGTCCAGCGACCAGCCAGGGATGGGTACATGTACGATGGTCGAGATCGCTCGATGGCGGATGGAAGGCACGGGGTAAGGATATCAAAAAAGGGGTTGTCGAGGGGTGATGACAGCTCGTCTCGTCATCCATCTCCCGAACTATCGCTCCTCCTCGGTCCAATCGCTGGCCGCCCAGGCGGGTAGCGGCGTCTCGTACTCCCAGCCGGGGCCGCAATAGCGCCACGCGTGCAGATACATGACCAGGTCGGATGGTTTCGGGTCCCTGTACTTCACTTTGCACTCGTAGCAGTGCGGGTCGACGGTCATCTTGTCGTTCGTGAAACTGGAGTCGGGCGGCTCCGATCCCGTCTGCGTGCCGACCGTCACCTTCGACGACTGCTCCTGCTGCTGCTGCTGCTGTTGCTCCTCCTCGGCCAGGCCGGGCGTGGAGGACGGCGACGAGCCGTCCTTGTCCAACGAGACCCGATCCTCCATGTCAAGCTTCGGCTTGAACAGGCTCATCTCCGAGTCGCCGTCCATCCCCAGCCAATTCTCCGCGTTGTGGATGCTGATCAGGTCCCTGACCAACTCCTGATCGGTCTTCCCGATGTTACCACCCTTCCCTTTCTCCGGCCCGAACACCACGTGGTTGTACAAAGGGTCGTTCACCACCGGGTAGCCGAGGTACTGAAGGTGGACCCGGATCTGGTGCATCCTTCCTGTCTGGGGCTTGCACAGCACCACGGACGACTTGCCGTTGTAGCTGAGCCGCTTGAAACGGGTCACGCAGTCCTTCCCCTTCTCCGAAACCTTGCACACGCCGATCTTGTAGGACACCACCTCGATCGGCTCCGAGCAAACCACTTCTTCCTCGGGGAACTCGCCTTCCACCCGGCACACGTACTGCTTGTGAACCTGGAACAAGAGTTTTTTGATCAAGGAAGGATTTTTTTTTTTTTTCTAAAAAAAAAAGAAGAAATCTCGAGTTGATTAAACGAACCTGTCTGTTTCTTATTTGGTGCTCCATCTGCCTCGCCTTCTTCGGCGTTCTACCGAAAAGGAGAATGCCGCTGGTCAGTCTGTCGAGCCTGTGTATCGTCCTCAAGTTCTTCAGGTTGTACTCCTTCGCGAGGATGAAGACGACCGTGTTGTGCCGGTATCGGCCGCACGGGTGCACCTGCAATCCCAAAGATCCACGTTTCTCCACATTTATTCGCCGAGAAAGCAAAACAAACGTGAGAGCGGAAAAGAGAGAGAGAGAGAGAGGATTGTGCAATTGGTCGGGTTGTGCTGGTTCCGTTCGGTTAAAAATATATTCTCGGCGAAAAGCGGGCAAGGATTATTGTATTATCGTATTTGCGGAAGAGCTGCTGGACTTCTGCGGATTCTATTTTCTCGTCTCACCAAAGATGAAATCTGGTGATCCAACGATGATATTACGATACTTTGTATAAATTGTTAATCTCGTTCCAAGTATAAAACCGATCTACCGTTAGAGATTTTAAAGAAACGATTTTCATCGAGTTGCTTTCATCGAGCAAACAGAGAAGAGAACGGTTCGATCGAAATTCCCCGCCACGCCATGGTATGGTATCGCCAGTGCAAACGTTTCGACCGCGAACGCACGTGCAAACACGCCTCGACGTACACGCGACGACCCATTTCCCTCCTGTTGGCAATTTTCGAGGGGGAAGAAAAGGGTCGACAAAAGGGAACGATTCGATGGCAATGTGGACACGATGTGGCCCCGATCTCGAACCAGAACAGAACACTCTAATTAGAGGAATACAATTGTTGTACGCTTTTGGAAAAGCGTTTTCGTAACTGTTTTCGCGATGGAGGAAATCTCGATCGTTTAATGTAACGTACAGTCGTAATCTTTCCCCTTAAGTGAGAGAAGAAAAATTGTCTCCATTTGAAGAAGGGCATTAGTAGAGCGGTGTAGCAGCCTAAGAGCAAGGCTCGATTACCAGCCAGTGTAAGCCAATGTAATTCCACGGTTACAAGTAACGAGTACAACGAAAGAACAAAGGATTACGACACGGCTTCGATCTTTCTTACAATTGATGATTGAACACCACGAGGTTGCATCGAGGATTGCATCATAAATCAACAAACAGCGTTCATCGTTGACTTGGCCTCGATCAACGCCTCGATCCCGTTAAAATCTTCTCCGCAAATAATCTCTCCCCGAAACAATAATAACTTTTGCGAGAAGTGAAGTTGGAAAAATTCGAGTCGTTAAAAAGTCGAGTGTCCGCGTTTCGAGAGGGCGTAATAAATCGAGAAGAGGCCTTGTTTTCAAAGCAAAAACGGATGTCGATAGGTCGATAGAGCGAGGTGTAAATAGTACATAAACAGGAAGTAGCGGCTCGTAAAGACACGCTGACAGCCGGTCGACAACGAGAGCCTCTCGATTTGCCCGATAATCCTGCTCTTCATCCCCCTGCTCGTCAATCCCCTCCCCCCTCTCTCTCTCTCTTTCCTGCGCGTACCCTGTCCCTTTGTCACCGACGTATTGTCTGATCCACTCACTGGCAAACCCGGATGTGCTCCAGGCGCTTCCCTCCCCACTCATTCCTATTTTTCAGGTCAAACTATTTTTTATCACGGTGAGAGGGTTTCGCGGTGGACTTAATTTTTTAACGCGATTGCTTGCCATGCTTGCTTACAGGTTTCGTGTATCCCTTTTCTCTTTTATTGCACCCAATAAAATTCTTTCTACTCCAGCGACGAGTTCGAGAAGAATTCGATTATTTTAGGAGAACATTTTTTATAATATGGAAAATATTTAGCTTCGGTTTTTTTCGGTGATTTTCGCTTTGGACGAGAAATCTAATTAATACCTTGGATTAATTTGTTTTTATTATCACACGTGTCTTTCACATTCTACGTGATGCGATCAATAACGTCCCCCTCCCCGAATAATGAACACCGACTTTGTTTTCACTTTTCTCACAACCATGCAATAACTGCACTGTGTATGCATCGATTCGACGTTTAGCTGGTGTAAAGCACATATAGAGAGAGAGAGATAGAGAGAGAGAGAGATAGAGAGAGAGAGAGAGAGAG